CCGTTCCATCTGCTCTCGCAGATTCCCAACACTTCTATTATATATCTCCTCATTTCTGCGGCTACCTGAGCAGCCTTCCCAGCTTCGTACATTGTACGAACATTCCACGTCCCCATCTCTATTTTTGCTATCATCGAAAGAAGGCACATCGGCTGACTGGCTTCCCGAAGGCTTTCACCAGCCTGCGTCATTTCACTTCCCTGATTCCAGCGAAAAATAAGGTTATTGTTTGTATTTTTAGAATTTTGAATATATTTGTGCGTTGAAGTTTTAGTAGCAATTTGGTTACGTTTTGGGGGTGGAGTTGCTAGCACAACGCCCCAACCCTCCCTCTTTATCCGGGCTTGGGACCGGCTAGAATACTAGTGACCTAGTTTATTTTTTGAAATACTCCTATTAAATGTTAAATAGTGAAATTCTGAGGCAAATATTGTAGATATATGCTGAAAATTCGACACTGTACCATTAGTACTGTTTCTGGAATAAAGCGAATTATTATAATTATTCCTAATAAACAGTATCAACCGAATCGTTTTCCAGTGGCTTCCACCATTTGCTCAAAATGTCATCCACTTCTTATTCTTTCATCATTGTCACGTAGCTGATGTTTAAACATCTAATATGTTGTGTGATGCACGGGAACAAGAGATAAGTGAAGCGAAATAGATCAAAGCCTAAGATAGAGCATCGAAACGAATCCAGGAATAAAGAACTTCAGCTGGCACAGTAAGGTATTCTGACAACTACTTCGTTCTAAATTGTCTGTGAAGAGTTTGATGGAAACTGCTTTGTCGAAACTACTCAGAATCAAACCTATTTGTTTAAAATTGATAATTTCAAAGAAACTCCTGACTCCCACTTTGTTATTGGTATCGACAGGACACCTGTAAATGGCCCTATTGGAAGCGTTTGTTCCCTTGAGGTGTGGGCATTTGGATATTTGTACCAAGTCAACTTAATAATTACTCATGATCTTATTGCGTGACTCCTTTGCCATTATAGCCAAGTCTGTAGTCACTTTGTATATTTTGTGCGAGCTTGAACCTTGTGTGTATACACTGTAGAAGTGTGATTTGTCAACACTGTTTGTTAAGTTCGGAGTCCCCTGTCAACTGATATTATGTTATATTTGGAAGTATGTTGACATTGTTCTGTTCCTAAATTCAGATTGCATACAACTGTTGATAAGTCGACGAACCCTTGTACATGATTTACAAAAATTATTCTTGTTCAGGGGTGACTGAGAGGATTCCAATGTTTTTGGAGTTTAAAGGCAGGTGTAATAACGCTTCAGGAAACTTGGCTACACGACTCATATGACGATTATTCAATCTTACTAAATCCTTTCAATATTTACAGACAGGACCGAAGTAGTTCAAGGAAGAAGCGAGGCGGTGGTGTTGCTACTTTCATCAATTCTCAGTGGTCTGTTGCCAACAACGTCTAATTTAAATTCTCAAATGATAATATTGACTGTATAAATGTCAAATGTTGACCTAAACATCTATCTAAATACAAATTCATTTATATCACGAATATTTATATCACACCTTGTTGTAGCGCTTCAGAATTATCTATGCTTGCTGATGAATTCACTATTTTCGCTGCCACCTCTTTTGGTAACTCCCTGTCCATAGTGACAGGTGATTTTAATTCATGTAACTGCAGCTTTCTCACAGTGAAAGATCATGAAAATGTTGTTAAATTTCTCACCAGGCTGGAAAATTCTCTTGATCTTGTATTTACAAATGACTCCAGAATATACGAAGCTCGTAAAAGAGCTCCACTGTTTAACTCAGATCATTGTATTGTACGGGTTTCACCTAAAATTTATGGGAAGTTACACAAGAGAACTTTTTCACACCTTTCCAAGAACACTGTACATGGATGTTACTCTATGGAGAATGTTCAGAACCTCAGAAGCATGCTCAAAGACACAAGGTGGGACCTGTTTAAAGAAGACTCTCTTGATGACACAATCTCTTATATTACAAGTTATCTCAAATTTTGTCTTGACACCTGTTGTCCCAGAGAAACGCTCTTCATCACATTTGACAGTTATCCTCCCCTCAACTTAAAAAGCTTCGCAGACAAATAGAAAAGTTATCTAAAATGAAGGATAACGCTGGTTTGAAAAGAATAAACATCCTAATAAAGACTGAAATGCACAGATTGAATTCAATTTACAACCAAAAGTTTATGTCCTGTAAAAATGCGTCTAACATATGGAAACTTTTCAAAGAAATTACTGGTGGTAAGCAGATGAACAGTATTCCTTATTCCCTTGATGTTTCCAAACTAAACAAGTCCGTCATACATTCTCCAACGAATTCCAAACTTTCTAGTGTTACAAGTGTTAATGGATTTAGTACAAATGATGTTCTAAAATGTCTCCAGTCTATGAACCCTTCTTGTAGCCTGGGTCCAGAAAGTTTGCGTAGTGTTATTCTTAAAATTTGAGTAGATATCCTGGGCTATCCTCTCATGGACATATTTAACGAATCTTTTTCTAAAAATGTCGTGCCAGCCGTTTGGAATGACATTTAAAATATATCTATTTCTAAGTCGTCTACTGCGACATGTTTTAAATTCAGACCCATTGCTATTACTTCCCCTTATCTAAAAGCTATGGAAAATCTTCAACCTTCATTTTAAGCCTTTAACGATCCCAAACAATTCGCCTGCAAACACAGTAGAAGCATTTTAGATGCAGCTGCAGTCTTGCATCATAACACTGTCTCCAGCTTAGACAAGCGGGCTAAATTTGTCCGCTGCACCTTTCTAGATTATACATCTGCTTTCCACTCAGTACCTAGGGACATTTTACTAAACAAGCTTGCTGAAACTCAAACTGACTGTTGGGTTGTCAAATGGCTGCATTCTTATTTCTCAAGAAGAAAGCAATACACTGTATGTCAGGGAAAGTCGTCCACTTCATTGCTTACTGAGGCTGGTGTCCCTCAAGGCGCTGTCCTTTCTACTTTTCTGTTTTCTTTCTTCTTGCATGACTTGCCTCACTCCGATGAAATGAACTTTGTTAAGTATGCCGATGATCTAACTATTTCAATGTCTGTTAACTCTCAGCTTGACTGCATCATGATTGACAACTTTCTATCAGGAATTAGCGAATGGTCTTCGTCTAACGGCCTTGAACTAAATCCTTCCAAATTTCAGACTGTCAACTTCAGTTTCCGATGTAAACGAAAGTTAAATGAAGCCGTTGGTTCTTATGACTCTTGCAAAATCGATGATACTGATACAGAAATCTAGTCTGAAGTTAAATATCTTGGTTTAATTCTCTCTTCTGACCTATCCTGGTCCTCTTATGTCTTAGCGATTTCTAAAAGAATATTTCGTTTGACTTTTTACATTTAGAAGTTAAGGCATTCAGGCATAACTCAACCACTCCTCTTACAGTTTATCAACTCGTGTATTTTATCTATTCTTCTTTACTGTTCACCCTTATTCTTTCCTGGATTGCTTAAACAGGACTTTGTCATACTTTGTAGAACTCTGAAAGCTGTCAGTAGGACGAGGACGTTGGGCGATATCGTTGACATTGTCACTGATAGGCACTTGATATCATGCAACAGATTCGCTTGAGGAATTTTGTCAGACTGTGAGCACCCAGTCTACCCGCAGCTCCATCCTTGTGACTCCTCAGGTAAAACAAGAAGTCTTTTCAGAAGACTTTATGCACGTACGTCTGATTATAAAAATTCCACTATACCATATTAAGCACCTACTTCACGTGATGAAAATAGTGTCAAACATGAACTAACTAACCTTCTTAGCACCACTAAATAGACCATTTCCTTCAACCTTAAAGCATCACTCTTTATTGTTATTGTATTTTTTTATATTTATAATCCTCTGCATTTTTTCGTTTTCTTTATTTTATTTTTCATAAGTGTGGATTTAATTTTAAGCTGTATTATAACTGCTGATTTTGCATTTCCCCTCACTATACTATATCAACAGAACATTAGACCCAATAATTTATAACATGCTAAAGTTCCCAAACTGTATCGACAATACCGTTTGATTCAAACTCAATGTTATTGTTATTGTTACTATTATATCTAATAATTATGTCGTAAATGTGGACAACTTCCTCTGATTAATTTTATTTTAATTTTTAATTTCATTTATATTTTGATTAAATCAGATGCACTATTGTCACAAATACTGAAAATTCCATTCTGTTTTATCAGTACTGCTTTTAGAATAAAATAAATAATTATTATATATTATTATCTTGCTGTACATCTGCGTTTGGCTAATGCAGGGAGAACACATTGTGCTCACATACACTGAATCAAATAGATACTTCTCAAAAAATCAAAACGCATTTCAAATATTATCACAACAAATGTCAAAGCTCATTTTTTCAAATTAACCTGTGCACTGAAAATGTAGCCTAGTAAGTCAGTGAAGGATTCACAAGTAATCCATGCAGCATAGACAACTCAAGTACATCGAAAACATTCTACGACACAACTGCATCTTCACGGAATATTGCAGCGTCCATATAATCTCTTTTGTTGAAAACAACTCAATTCATATACCGCAGAGTCAGACTGAGACGAAGAAATGTGAATCAAATATTGTGTGCTTGACGACTTCGCTTTCTTTTATAAAACAGAGGAAACTGCCAAATTGAATGCAGGAAGTTATGGAATGATTGGGTCAAAAGAAAAAACTGATGACATTTTGTGTAGTACTGCAATGAAATAATATTTTCAAATTATGTTCAAGTGGCAAAGTGTTACTGCAGATTGGCAGATTTCATTGTACCTCTCAGATTCCTCGATATATGATGTCAGTGGCGTGACATCATGAGGTGTTGTTTCACTCACCAATCACAACACTCACAGTCTTCCACAAATGACCGATGAAATCGTGATTACTGTAATCAACCAATCATCAGATTACAACAATTATTGTGACTGCTTTCTGTGGTATAAATACGGGAACGGAAAGTCAGTTATCATTAGAAGATGGTCTACTTCGCATACAGCCACGTGGCTTTCGTCACTCTGTTGGCATTCGCAGCCATAAATTCAGGTGAGCATTTTCTCGAAAGGTGGTATATTTGTGGCTCAATCCTTACGAAATATTTGCCTTATTCACTAGTACTGTTGAATGTTTCGCTACTCACTCTCACAGTTCGTTCTCTCTGGTTGAGTTTTTTCTTCAGAATGGTCACTTTTGCATATGAATTCATCTCAATTTCATGTTGTTTGATAGATGGTGACCGGAAGCGTAATAGTACTCATGGAGGCATCTCTCCTCTTAATCCTAACTAAAAGACTTTGTATATTAACAATTGTACAGTGACATGCTCTCTCGTTCTGATAGTGTTTCAGCTAACATTTCCAAAGATTGTCCGAATACACATTTTGAGGTGATGTGTTTATGCACTGCAATGGCATACATAAAGCCCTCCAAAGGAGTTTGATACAATTCAAGTGGAGAAATTGTTCTGACTATCTTCAGTGTTCTGAAACTGCTTCTCTGTATAATAACTGTTGTTTTCACTCCCTCATTTCATTTCCAGGCGAATCGATGAAGGCAGCTGAAATTAAAAAGAGGATAGCAAAAACTGAACGTAAGAATGTATTACGTGCATATTATTCGAGGTTAACAATCTACTTGACAATTATTCATGGCAATTGTTTGAGAATAACGAAAGTCTCACAATGATCGATTTAGTCATGATCTTAATTGACGACTCGAAAATTGATATAATATCATTGAAGACAGTGTGGAGAATGGCTGACTCACCTGAAATTCCTTCAGTCGTCTTCAATGAAACTATTTACAATGTGTATTATCCATTTGTTATCAGTTATCTTACATCACATATAATGATTCATTCAAAATATTCTCCTCTCCCCACAGAAAAACTACCCGAAGCGATTGCGGAGGTCGAAGCTGCTGAAAAGAGAGTGCAAATTATTGAAGGTATATATAACATAAAGCCTGATTGTTGATAATATTTTCGCTCTGACGAAAATATGCTTCAAATAATGTTTTCAAAATTATTACTAATGATGATATCAATCATGTCATCTAGTATGTAGCATTTAGTGACATAAATAAAATACACGTCACCACAAGTTGTTAACTTTCAACGCTTTCGCTTTTCTGTATTCCTAGAAAAGATTCTCAGTCAAAATGCAAGCTTACGAGGAAAATTAGGAAATTGTAAGCAAACCGTATCTATTGAAATGATGGACCTCCTTTTTTAGATACAGACTGCCTGGAAACTGCATACAAATACAGGTGGGGAATATCCACACTTAAATGTGCGTTCTAAGAAATTCTTTTCTTTTCTGAGATAATTTTATTCACGAAATTTATTCACTACTCACTGTGCTTCTATTTGATAAGTGAGAAGTCACTTTCTTGATATACTCTCTATTGGTGATATGTCTTCTCACCGGTCATTTCAATAATATACGTCTTTTCGGCTCCGGCGTTGTTAACTTACAAATGATAAGAGCCGCTAAATATGTCAACGTCTTTCTATCTTTCCTAGATATCGCAGAGGATCTCGGCAAAAGTAAGCTAGATATTTCGAGTCATTTCTATACTTATCTACCATCATACTTATTTCTCGTCAATATTCTGTTCAACATTCTTCACCTGGCTTATATTCACGCGTTAACACCTCAACTATCGTTATTTCAATGATGCACTTTATTTGCTAACGTCAAATAAATGTGAAGAACCTCCTCATTCACCGATTAACATGAGGAAGTGATTGACAATAGATGTTTGACTGTTGTATTTCTCATTTCGGATATTCGTTGACAATCTACCAAGTAGTAAACAAATTTTATTCGCCTCAATTGTGATTGTGTTTGTATTCAAACTGCATCAATGTGTATATGTATGATATTTATAACAATAGGAATGAATTGATTCATTTGAGACTGATTTATTTACAGTTGACGATGGAACATTTGGTGATATGATAACTTGTTGCCGACAACAATCCTCAGCATATAATGGTGAGTAGCATTTTATTACGCTAATTGGCTCGATTTATTTTGACTGTATGGAGTGACGATTTTCGAAATTCCAGTCTCCACATAATGACACTGCTTTTCTTCCCTTACACACCCACAACTAGAAAAAGTGGAGGCGTTCCATGTGGACAAATGTCGCGCAAATCTAGGTTCGGTGAATCAAGAAGGTATTCGTTTTTTCATTTTTTACATTCACAATGAAATGAATAACATTTTCGTGTATACCCACGATGAGGGTATACCTTCACATATCACAATACCTTCATCATGTTTTGAATTCATGAACATCAACCTCGTATTGCAGGACAGTCTTTGATGAGGATTCTCCAAAAGTCGAAAACTAATGTATGGAGGTATATGAACAACTTCAGTGGTGGTCTAGGATGTGGTCGGTCGTCTACAAGTGAAATTGTTCAGATGGTGTGAATATGAGTAGAAACACACACTGAAAGATAATCTGGTGAACGTGAAACTGAATGAGTACTGACATAGTGACATGATGACTGCAGTTTGAACATGGTGCAAAGTTAACATCATGCAAGTGGATGAATTCGTGAAGTTGTCAATTGCTTGAATCTTTGCATGAAATAGATTGTTTTCATGTCACGTAATTTTGTTTTCCAATCTCATAATTTGATTCTGAGAAGTCCACTCAGGAAGATACATTCTTCATGAATTATTTCAGATCTGCAGGAACTGAAAGCTCAAATCGAAGGAGTATTCTACCACAACTCCTGGTTAAGCGTTGAAATTTGTGAGTTCATTTTCTCTGTAAAATGAATAGTCAGAGTCTATCTAATATTAGTTATCTTACGAACTCATTGATAGACAACAACAATCCCTTCCACTGGTCAATTCAAATATTTCTCGATGTCTTCTATCATTTCTAGTTTACAAGAATCTTAACACAACCCTGTTGAAGACGTTGACAGGTGAGATATAATTTGCATCAACTTCCATTCTCAAACATACGAAATCGACATGCGAGGATAAGGTCTGTTAATGGAGTGCACGTTTGAATCTCCAAGACACGAAATGGGAGACAGTCTGGATGGGAGATGATGAGTCGGCGAAGCACAACACGGGATTCGGATATTCACTACAACAGCTAGATAATATTTTTCACCATCGACTATTCTCTCACCATACAGCACAAATATAGGTCAATGAGTGTGTGTCTCGAATTCCGATCTCGAATGCGCCTGTTTAACCGAGTGATGAAAGCATCATCAGTGGCGTTGTAAGTTACCGTGCGGATATCGCTTAATGCATAGTATCTAGACAGTTGTAAATAAACGGTATCATGAATGTATTAGAATACACATGCACATTTCATACGCGTCACTGAGAAAATGCAAGCCAGCCATTGAAATCCACACGACGCATAGTGAATCATTGAAAAGTAGCAACTCATTGAAATTATCACTCACTGAAAATATCCCGAATACTCGGATTGTGTAAATAAGCACACAGTTCACCAACAACCATCCTCCTCTCCAGTATATGATTTTCTTGACTATTTCACCAGTAATATTTCATCCAATAATATTGCTAACTGATTTTATTCTCATACAGAAAAATGAAAAGGAGAACCAGGGTGAATATCAAAGTACTACTGAATACATGTAGATTGTAGAAGCTTTCGTAAATATTTCATTTTCAAATAAGTAAATTAAATAAATCAATTATCTGCTATACCGCGATTTCTTCATGAATTAAAACTTTTATTGAACTGCCGGTGGTGATCGGATGTGGTTCAATGCGAATTCGCGGTTGAAGACTTTGTGGTTGGCTGTCATCGTCGGGAACGTGTTAATGTGAGACTGGTCGTACGGTGGCTGTTAGGGGACTGAGTCTCTTCAGTAGAGTGTGCGTCAGACGTATATGCGTAACCGACCTCAATGGAAATACGATTGTGTCAATGTCTTTCGAGTGATTAATCACTGATAACACGGATCAAATGGACCAAGAGCACGTAAAACAAGTTCCTACACGATTTGCAATCGAAATATTTGGCGTGACACATGTTGGTCATTAATTCCAGTATATAACATAGTTAAAACAGTAATGCTCCTCACCACTGATATCAAATAAGTACATCTGAATGAAGACACGCCGGATGATATCTAAATATGCTGAAATGTCTGTAGAATGAACAACCATAAATTGGCTTGAAACAGAAGAAACGGTTTATTGCATCCTCCCGCCTGTCTATTGGAAAACTCCTCGAGAGACTCACAGTCACAAAGTTCTACACAGGCAGCTGGAAGTTTACTATTAGTCGTAAAATATGTGAAGGTGTATTGAACATCCATGATAATAACATGGAAACCTCAAAATTACCACGTCAGTGCCGAATGCAGCTACATAGGCAAAGGAAATTTCCAGCACAAAACAAATAGTGTAGGGCAGAATTAAACAACTGAAATTTGACCGTAGACGTTACACGACAATCTAGTGAAATATTAATTATGTAACTTGAAAATCCCCATTCAGTCATATAAAAGAAAAGAAGGCGTTCAGCGAAGAGACTCTTTTCGGCGAATTCATTCACTTAGCTGTACAATCGCATATTTATACAATTTTGTTTGTGTGTGTGTACATTAGATTTATAAAGTTTAGATAATTATGTAATATAAGTAATTTTTGCTTGGAAACAAACGTTAAGATGGAAAATAAAATAGAATTGATTAAGTGAGTAGAATTCAGATGAGGTCAGGTTGGAAACAGTGTTAATGAGTGGTGTTTAAAATCAAGTAAGGGTGGGGTTAGAGAATAATACAGTTGAAAATAAGTAAGTTAATCGGATGACGTAACTCAGTTGACTAGAAATTGGAAGTGGGTCAAGTTAGTAACATTGTTAATGAGGGTAGAGATTACAAAAGGGTGGGATAGAGAATAATATAAGTGAAGATGTGAAATAATAAAATGCAAGAGACAAAATAATACAATTAGTAAGACTAAAATTAAGAAAGATTACGTCCATTGTAGATTTATTGAATGAACGAATTTCTTTTGTATGCAGAGTTCAGGATTTAGCAAATGAATTGCCATTGCTTCTGCGATGTGGAGAAGTTTGATCCGCACACTTTTAGCAAGATTGCCTTGTATTCTGTAGATAACTTTGAAGTTTATTTCTGGTTTGACTTGGTGTCCAGAGTCGATCAAATGTTCAAGGATCGAGCTGCGGGGGCATCGGTTTTCTCCTTTATAAAACCATGAAGGTAAATGTTCGTTGACGCGTTTGGATAGCGAACGCTGAGTACGGCCGATATAGCTGGCTCCACACGAGCAGGTGAAATGGTAGATGCACATAGATGAGGCCAACAGCGGTAGCTTATCCTTCACGGACATACGAATCATTGGTCTCGCGGAGAACGTCAGTCGTAATTCAGCTGCAACGAAGGTTTTCTTCAATGAGCGGGAGAGCCGATTTCTCAGTATTTCCGTAGATTGGTCTCCGTTGAACTGTAGGTTCATATAGAGAAGTTTTTTTGGAGCACTGGGTGTGGACGGCTTCTCTGGTCTGGGTTTCATTGATTTTGTGATAAATCTTTCTGGATAGCCATTTTCAAGGAGGATTTTCTTAAGAGTGTTCAATTCATCTTCTATATATAGTATATAGAGGTACCCAACTGTGGAAGTTAGTGAGCTGTCCGTTCCACGTTGGCTTTCTGTAGATGGATCTTTTTAATGTCCCGTCTTGTTGGCGTCTCGTCAGTTGAACGTCAAGAAAAGATATCTTTGAGTTAGACTCTCTCTCTAGCGTGAACTGAATCGCAGGGTGGCAGTTGTTGAAGAACTTCAGAATATCTTCTAAATTCTCTTCGTTGTTGCAGATGATGAAGGTGTCGTCGACGTATCTCTTGTAGAGTTCAAAGTTGTCAATCATATTCTTTAAACAAGTGTTTTCGAGTTTTGACATAAAGAAATCCGCAAGCAGAGGGCCTAGTGGTGAGCCCATAGCTATACCATCCTTTTGGCGATATATTTCATTGTTAAAGGAGAACTGGACGTTTAGGGTGCATCTCAGCAGAAGTTCTTTTAGATAGTCGGTGGTTATGCCGATGTTTACTCCTTCTGAGTGGATGAGCTCGCATATGTGACAGATTGTTTCAGTTAGTGGAACATTTGTAAACAATGAAACAGCATCTAGTGAGATCATCGTTTGAT